GGGGCCCCCCGGGGGCCCCCCGCAGCTGCGGCAAAAGCTGGGGCGACCGCTGGGGCCCCGGGGGCGTTGGGGGGCACCGCTGGGGCGAAGAGTGGGGGGAGGGGGGCTGCAGGAAGTGGGCTTATGACACTCCCGGGAGGCCTGAGGGCTGCTGATGCTGCTGCTGCTGCTGCTGCTGCTGCTGCTGCTGCTGCTGCTGCTGCGGCAGCGGCAGCGGCGGCAGCAGCGGCGAAAACGGCGGCGAAAACGCCGTTTTCGGAGCAGCTGCAGCAGCAGCAGCTGCAGCAGCAGCTGCTGCAGCAGCAGCTGCTGCTGCTGCTTCGCGGTAGAGCCGTTTGCAAAGATGCAGCAGCAGCAGCAGCAGCAGCAGCTGCTGCTGCTGCTGCTGCAGGCGGCCGTTTGCGGTGTATGGACAGCCAAGAGGCTGCAGCCAACTGAGCGCAGCGTGGAAGAATTAATTAAATTTATTTTTAATAAATCAGCAGCAGCAAAGCAGCAAATTTGCTGCTGCAGTCTTTATTTGCTTCTGCCGAACAAGAAGGAAAAGAAGTGCAGCAGCAAGCCGTTCGGGTGTACGTACACCTCAGCAACCCCGCGGCGACTGCGTCTTTTCGGAGTTATTAAAAACAATTTCCAATCAATTTAAGGACCTTATTTTATTTAAATCATTTAAACAACCTTTTAGTGGATTTGAGGACTTTATTTTGTTTTTTTCAGCAGCTAGCTGCGGTCAGTTCGAGCTGGCTAGCTCTGGCTAGCTGCAGCCACTTGTAGCTAGCTGCAGCTGCTTTGCAGCTAGCTCGGGCTAGCTGTAGCTAGCTGCTGCTGCAGTTAGTTGCTGCTGTTGCTGCAGCAGCTAGCCACGGTGAGCTGCAGCTAGCTGCTGCTGCAGCTAGCTGCTGCTGCAGTTAGCTGCTGCTGCAGCGCAGCAGCAGCGCCGCCCCTGCGTCCTCAACTGGAGGAATGGCTTTCTCATATTTGAAAAGAAGCAAATTCTCTTCGCGAATAAAATCTTCAGAAATATAAATATATAAATATAAATATAAATATAAATATAAATATAAATATAAATGCAAATATAAGCAAACGCGTTTTAAAGGATTTGTTTAACTTCTGTATTTTCCTGCGGAAATGGGGGCCCCCAAGTCCTCTTGAAAAGGGGAAAAGGAACAAAAATGAAAAGAGAATTTGAACAGAAATAGAAAGAGAATTTGAATAAAAATGAAAAGGGAATTGGAATTAAAATGATAAATGTTTGCGCCGTTTGCCCTCCAAGCAGCTGCTGCTGCATGTTTTAGAGTGTATATACACCGTAAGATTCAAATGCTGCTGCTGTTGTTGTGGCTGCGGAGGTTAAGCGGCAATGCGGCGATAAAAAACACTTTTTCGGGACAATACAATTCATTAAATTGCTCCTAAACATTTATTTTAATAATATATGGATAGAAGTAGAAATGTAAATAGAATTTGCTTCCAAACAACCCAAATTGCGCCTCAACAGACGCCCAGAGCAGCAGGCTTGCAAGAGCAGCAGCAGCAGCAGCAGCAGCAAGGAAAGCTGTTAAACGGGGGGTTGCTAGGAAGCAGAATGAGCCTCGAAGTTGCTAAAAATTGTAAATTTGATAAATGCAATTTGGATGTTGCCTTATTAGCAAAAGAAAGCCGGTGTTGCAGCGAGTTGGGTCGGCGCGAGCAGCAGTCGGCGTCTGCAGCTGGGGGGGCGTCGCGGCTGCTGTTCGCCCGCGATCCTGCATAAAATGCGTAAATTTGAAAGCCGTTTGGCCTAAATAAAGGAAAATAAAGACAGAGGAGCAAAAAAATTCAACTTTGGACCACTCCGGAGCCCGAATCGCAGCCCGGTGTGCATGTCCGGCGGCAGCGCAGCCCTGGGTGGCGGCGGGGCTGGCTGCAGGCGCGGCGCCGCGGTGTCTCGGAAAGCCGCGGAGTTTTGCCAAGTGGAAAGCAAAGAAAAAACAAAAATTGCAAACTGGAAACTGCGCGGGCGGCTGCGTTCGGAACTGCAGCAGCGACTCGCGGCCGCGGATCGCGCATGCGCGGAAGTGCAGAAAAACAAAAGTGGCGGCGCGCGGCGGCGGCGTTTTTGAAAACTGGGCTGCGGTGTACGTACACCTGAGCGCTGCGCGGCGAGCGGCGACTGCGCGGATCGGAAGTTGAATGGGAGTTTCTGGCGTCGGAAAAAGCGGAATTTGAAATTGAAAATCGTTTTTATTTGCAAAATGGCGGAAGGTCAGTACTCGTTCAGCCTGACGACCTTTTCGCCGAGCGGCAAACTCGTGCAAATTGAATACGCCCTCAACCGCGTGCAGCAGGGCGCCCCCGCGCTCGGCATCAAAGCCCGCAACGGAGTCGTTCTCGCCGCAGAAAAAAAACTGCCAACTCCTTTGATTGACTCCGACACAATTCGCAAAGTCGCGGCTTTCACGCCCGCAGTCGGCTGCGTCTTCGCCGGCATGCCCGCAGACTTCCGCGTCGTCCTCAAGAAGGGCCGCAAGGAGGTGAGCAAACCGCAGCAGCAGCAGCAGCAGCAGCAGCAGCAGCAGCAGCAGCAGCAGCTGAAGTGCAGACGCTTTTGCGGCTCCGGGGACCAGACCAATGGTCAGGGAGGCTCCCTGGAAAGCAGAGCAAGCTGCTGCTGCAAGCAGCAGCAGCTTGCTCTGCTGCCAAACCAGCAGCTCAGCTCCTGCTGCTGCTGCAGCAGTTCAGTTGCTGCTGCTGCTGCTGCTGCAGCAAGTGAACTGCTGCTGCTGCTGCAGCAAATGAACTGCTGCTGCTGCTGCTGCTGCAGGCTGCTGCCTACGAACTGTACTACAAAACGCCCATGCCGACGCAGCAGCTGGTCCAGAGCGTCGCCTCCGTCATGCAGGAGTACACCCAAAGCGGCGGAGTCCGCCCCTTCGGCATTTCCCTCCTCGTCGCTGGGTGCGCGCACAGCTAGCTAGCTAGCTAGCTAGCTAGCTAGCTAGCTAGCTAGCTGGCTAGCTAGCTGGCTAGCTAGCTGGCTAGCTAGCTGGCTAGCTGGCTAGCTGGAGGGTAGCTGGCGAGCTGAGGGGTAGCTAGGGGCTAGCCGGCGTAGGGAACTAGCCAGCTAGCCAGCGAGCTAGCTAGCTAGCTAGCTAGCTAGCTAGCTAGCTGCTGATTTGCAAAGTGCTGCTGCTGCTGCTGCTGCTGCTGCAGCTACGACGACTTCGGGCCGCAGCTGTACCAGGTGGACCCCAGCGGGGCTTACTTTGGGTGGAAGGCGTCGGCGATTGGGCGGGACATGCAGAACGCGAAGACCTTTTTGGAAAAGCGGTAAAAAAGTTAAAAAGTTTAAAGTTAAAAGTTAAATAAAAGTTAAATAAAAGTTAAATTAAAGTTAATTAAAAGTTAAATAAAAGTTAAATGAAAGTGACGGAGTTTTGTTTTGTGAGAGGCGTTGGGTGCGGGGCGCAGCTGGGGTGTACGTACACCTCGGCTCCCGAAAAAAGAGCCGAAACGGCTTTTTCGGCCTCCAGAAAGACCCCCGCTGCTGCTGCTGCTGTGCTGCTGCTGCTGCTGCTGCCGCTGCTGCTGCTGCTGCTGCTGCTGCTGCTGCAGGTACAGCGAAGACATTGAGCTGGAGGACGCGATCCACACTGCGATTCTGACTTTGCGGGAAGGCTTTGAAGGCGCTTTGAACGAAAAGTCGATCGAAATCGGAATTATCGGCCAAGACCGAAAATTCCGAATTCTCGAACCCGCAGAAGTGAAGGACTACCTCGCTGAAGTCGAAGTCGGCACTGCCTGAACGCCCGCTCAGCTGTACCTACACCCGAGGTGTACGTACACCCGAGGTGTACGTACACCCGAGGTGTACGTACACCCGAGGTGTACGTACACCCCAGCTGGGCGGACAGGTGGGGTGTACGTACACCCGAGGTGTGCGTACGTACAGCCGGGGTGTATGTACACCCGAGGTGTATACGCACAGCCGAGGTGTACGTACACCCGAGGTGATATACGCACAGCCCAGGTGTACGTACACCCGAGGTGTACGTACAGCTGAGGTGTATACGTACAGCTGAGGTGTACGTACAGCTGGGGTGTAGCTGCAGTTGGGGTGTACGTACAGCGCAGCAGTCGCCGCGCGCACCTCGAAAGCGCCGCTTTTGTGGTTTTGGAAATCAAAGCGAAACTTTTATTTCGAGTTCTGGGGGCTGCGGTGTACGTACACCGCGCTGCACTGCGCCGCAGCTGCAGCAAGCCGGGCCGGCGCTTGCTGCAGCAGACCGGCCAGCGTTTGCTGCTGCTGCTGCTGCTGCAGCAGCAGCAGCCAGTGCTGCAACGCTTCCTTCACAAAAGCTTTAGGGCCGCGGGACCGGCTGAAAGGGTCTTTAAATAATTAAACACGGAAGCAGCAGCAAGTCTGTTGCTGCTGCGCAGCAGCAAATTCGTTGCTGCTGCGCAGCAGCAGCAAGTCTTTTGCTGCTGTACAGCCGCTGCTGCGCAGCAGCAAACCCCTTGCTGCTGTGCAGCAGCAAGCTTGCTGCTGCTGCCACGGGGCTCACTACAGTCACTAGGGTTTAGTGGTTTAGTCTTTCGTTCTGTGCTGTCTGTAAAGACACCCCCAAACCCTAAACCCTAAAAAGGTGTTCTACCTGACACTTTACTCTTCTAAAAGAAGCAGCAGTGTCTGTAAAGACACCCCCAAACCCTAAACCCTAAACCCTAAAAAGGTGTTCTAGCTGTCACTTTGTTTTTCTAAAAGAAGCAGCAGCCCCTAAAGTGCTGCTAAATAGCTCCTCTGCTGCTGCCTTACTAAGGCTACGCGCAGCGACTTCACAGCAGCAGCAGCAGCAGCAGCAGCAGCAGCAGCAGCAGCGACAGCAGCAGCAGCAGGAGGGGAGTGTCCCCGACTTGGCAATTTCTACTGCAGCAGCAGACGCAGTTCCCCTCCGCAGCAGCAGCAGTTTGCTGCGGAGGGGCGGAGAAGTTAAGAGCGAAATAAAAGGCTGGAAAGGGCGCAGCGCATGCAGCAGAACAGGCCAAGCAGCCCCTGGCGAGAAGCGCAGCAGCAGCAGCAGCAGCAGCAGCAGCAGCAGCAGCGGGAGGTGCCAGCAGCAGCAGAAGGCGAAAAGCGGGCTTAGAGGCCTCGGGCGAGGCCGCCAGCGACGCAGCAGCAGGCGTTTGGAATGTCTCTCGCTGCGCTGCTGCTGCGGTGTCTGCTGCTGCTGCTGCTGCTGCTGCTGCTGTGGGGCGGGCGGGCGCGTGCGGGCGCCCCGGAGTTCGTTTTTTCGCGCTGGAGAGTTTAAAAGGGTTTAAAAAGCCGAAAAGAAGATTTAAAAGCCGAAAAAGGAGCAAAAGGAGCAGCAAATGGCGCCGATCGCAGCACGACCGCAGCAGCAGCAGCGCGTATTAGCCAGCCGCTCGAAGCCCCCACTGCATGCGCTGCTGCGCAGGCGCCCCCCGGAACTGGGCGCTGCTGCTGCCAATTTTTTGGTCTTTTGCGTCTCTTTTTGTTTTTAAAACGCTGCGAAAAGTCGCGAGGTGGTTTTGGTGTCCGCGAAGAGAGGCCGTGAGCGCGTCGAGGCCGCGAGAGAGCCAGCAGCAGCAGCAGCAGCAGCAGCAGCAGCAGCAGCAGCAGCACTTGCCGCCACTCCGTTCCCCACCGCGTCTGCAAGATGGCGGCGCTCGAGCAGAACCCCGCGGACGAGTTGGTCGACTATGAAGAAGACGAGCAGCAAAACGACGCCAAGGTGCGTTCCGCAGCAGCAGCTGCTGCAGCAGCAGCAGCAGCTGCAGCAGCTGCTGCACTCCGCGCCTCCGGGGGCCCCGGGGGCCCCCCTCCGCTCTAAACTTTCTCTAAGTCGCGTCTCTGAAACTCTTTGCTGCTTGCTGCTGCTTTGCCTCTCCCGCCCCGCTGCAGCAGCTGCAGCAGCTGCTGCGGGGCCTCGGGGGGCCCCTCGCTGCCTCTTGTGTTCCAATTTGCTTCTCCGCACTTTTCTCTTTTTGCCTTTTTCTTCGCCCGGGGCCCCAAATACCCCCCGGGGGGCCCCAAACGGGGCCCTTGCTGCAGCAGCTGCATGCGAACTGCAGCAGCTGGGCGGGGGGAAAGGTAACGTTGGGGTGTCTGTACAGCGTGTGTGGGTTTGATGGCGTGGAGTGTCTGCTGCTGCTGCTGCTGTGGGGCGTCTTTGCTGCTGCTGCTGCACCTTGAGCTTTCTCTTGCTGCTCTTCTCTTCCCTCTTTGCTGTGTCTCCCTGAAAGCCCTGCTGCTGCTCCTCTTCGCCGCAGCAGCAGCAGCAGCCTGCGCTGCCGCGAGTAGCCTCGCCCTGCTAGCCGCAGCAGCAGCAGCAGCTGCAGCAGCAGCAGCAGCAGCAGCAGCAGCAGCAAACTGAGAACGCAGTCTTCTTACCTTTTAATTTAAACTCAGGAGAAAGGCGTCGGCGAAGAAGTTGTTGGCCGAGGCAATTACGTGTCCATACACGCCAGCGGCTTCCGCGACTTCTTCCTCAAGCCCGAACTCCTCAGGGCCATCGGCGACGCGGGGCCGCTGCTGCTGCTGCTGCTGCTGCTGCTGCTGCTGCTGCTGCTGCTGCTGCTGCTGCTGCTGCTGCTGCTGCTTCGTGGCTTTTGGGTGCCGTTTTTTCGGGTTTTTGGACTTGCCGAATGCTGCAGAGGGTGGGCTTCGCGGATTAGGGTTTGGGAGGGTTTGTGAGGGTTTAGGAGGGTTTGTGAGGGTTTAGGGTTTGTGGTTTGCAGGGTTTGAACACCCCTCGGAGGTGCAGCACGAGACGATCCCGCACGCGATAACAGGAGTGGACATTTTGTGTCAGGCGAAGAGCGGAATGGGGAAGACAGCAGTGTTTGTGTTGTCGATCCTGCAGCAGCTGAACGTGGACAGCAGCAGCAGCAGCGCAGCAGCAGCAGCAGCAGCAGCAGCAGCGGGCTCTGGGGGCGGCGGCGGGGCGGCGGGCGCGGCGGCGTCGCCGTCAGCCGCAGCAGCGCCCGCGGCGACGAAGCGCAGCGGCGACGCTGCAGCAGCAGCAGACGCAGCAGCAGCAGCAGCAGCAGCAGCAGCAGCAGCAGCGCCGGGGGTGGTGTGTCTGGGCCTGGCGCACACGCGGGAGTTGGCGTTTCAAATAAAAAACGAGTTCGAAAGGTTCAGCAAATACCTGAAAGGAGTCAAAGTCGAAGTGGTTTATGGCGGAGTTCCTCTTCAAAAACATTTGGAACTTTTTGCAGATCCAAAAAGAACTCCTGCAATTCTGATTGGAACTCCGGGGCGGGTCTTGGCGTTGCTGAAGAACAAGTGTCTAGACACCTCAAAAATAGCGCACTTCGTTCTCGACGAATGCGATAAGTGCCTCGAGAAACTCGACATGCGCAAGGACGTACAGGCCATCTTCGTCGCCACTCCCAAGAAGAAGTGACCGCTGCTGCTGCTGCTGCTGCTGCTGCTGCTGCTGCTGCTGCTGTGCAAACGCGGGGTCGGGGGGCGCTCTGGGCGGCGAGGACGGCATGCTGCTGCTGCTGCTGCTGCTGCTGCTGATTGTGGTGGCTGTGGGGTCGTTCTGGCGGCGGTTTTTGCTGCTGCTGTTGGCCACGCTGCTGCTGCTGCTGCTGCTGCTGCTGCTGCAGGCAAGTGATGTTTTTCTCGGCGACGATGAACCGGGAAATGCGGGCGGTTTGCAAAAGGTTCATGCAGAACCCCGTGGAAGTGTTCATTGACGACGAAAGCAAACTGACGCTGCACGGGCTGCTGCAGTTCTACGTCAAGCTCGCGGAAGCCGACAAAAACCGAAGACTCAACGACTTGCTGGACTCTCTGGAGTTCAACCAAGTGATAATTTTCGTGAAGTCCGTTTCCAGGGCGCAGGCGCTGAACAAGCTGCTCACGGAGTGCAACTTTCCCTCCATTGCGATCCACGCGGGCCTCGACCAGGAGGAGAGGTGAACTCAAACGTGAACTCCCCGAAAGCGCCGCGATCCGCGCGAGAATCTGCAGATCTCGCCTTTAAATGGTTTTATTTATCTTTATTTCATCTTTTTTCCGAAAAAAACAGAAAATTCCACCGAGATTCCACCGAGTTTCCCGAGATTCAACTTGCTGTGCCTGTCGCTGCGGCCGCAGGATCAACCGCTACCAGCAGTTCAAAAACTTCGAAAAAAGAATTATGGTGGCCACAGACCTCTTCGGCCGAGGAATTGACATCGAAAGAGTTAATATTGTCGTCAATTATGATATGCCGGAAAGCAGCGACTCGTACCTGCACAGGTGAGCGCGCGCGCCTGCGCTTGAGGTGTACGTACACCTCAACTCCGCCGCCACCCGCAGCCGATCCGCGCGAAACTGCTTCATTTTGCTCCGTTTTTGCTGCAATTTTGCCGTTTTTTTGCCTCTTTTTTGCTGCACTTGTTCATTTTTGCATTTCGGGATTTGCTGCTGCCTCCAGAGTGGGCCGCGCCGGCCGCTTCGGCACCAAGGGGCTCGCGGTGACCTTCGTCGCCAGCCAAGAAGACACCAACGTCCTGAATGATGTCCAAACGCGTTTCGAAGTTCACATTCCGGAGATGCCGGCGACCATTGACGCCTCCCAGTACATCAACCAATGAGTGTTTAGTTTGTAGCGAAATTAACAAACCAGGGGCCAGCTGCAGCAGCAGCAGCAGCAGCAGCAGCAGCAGCAGCAGCAGCAGCAGCGGCGCGCTGCAGCGGCCGCTAGCTGCAGCCTGCCTGGGGAGGCGCGTGGCGCCGGGGCCCCTCTTTTCATGCCTTGCGATTCCAAAGCGTTGAATAGCTTCGAGGGGATGCAGCAAATGCTGGGGTTGCTGCTGCTGCTGCTGCTGCTGCAGCTGAGCAAAGGCGGAGGGCTCAAGCTGCTGCTAGCCCTAGCAGGCAGAAGCAGCTTCCCTTGTCTGCTGCTGTGGGAAGCGGCGGAGCAACTCAGACTGCCCAGGGCCCCCAGGGGGCCCCCCAAAGGGGCCCCCTGGGGAGGCCCCTCCAAGGGGGCCCCCCTGGGGGCCCCCTTTGGTTCCCCGGGGTTGCCCTTTGGGGGCCCTTCTCGGGGCCCCCTCTGGGGGCCCCTCCTGTGGGTTCCAGGGGGGGCCCCCCAACAGGGGCCCCTCTAGGGGCCCCCAAGAGGCCCCCAGGGGGGCCCCTTCGGGGCCTCTAGGGGGCCCCCAGGGGGCCCCTGGGGGGCCCCCAGGGGGCCCCTGGGTTGGGTATTTTGCTCTGAAGAAGCCGGAGCGCGGAGGCCCTGAGGGTTTGCGTTTTGGCGGCGCTTTCTGTCGAAAGGTTTCTGGCGAAATTTGAGTGTCATAAAAGTGGAATTGAATCCGTTGGGTCTTCAAGTGCTTTTGAACAATAAAATAATTATATTATTATTATTTATATTATTATTATTATTATTATTTATATTATTATTATTATTTATATTATTATTATTATTATTTAGTTCGAGGGAGAGTTGGGGTGTATGTACACCCGGTGCATGCAGACGCATGCATGCGTAGTTGGGGTGTATGTACAGCTCATATGAATGCGCAAATGCGGAACTTAATTATTACCCAATTCATAAATGCAAAATGTGTTTATTATTTAAAGAATAAATGCAAAATATATTTGTAAAAGTGAAGTTGTATTTAGAAACGGAAAAGAATAAACTCTAGAGAAACGCGAAAGAGCCAAATTACTCCGTTCCATGTTTGCTGCACCTGCTGCTGCTGCTGCTGCTGCAGCAGCTGCTGCTGCTGCAGCGACTGCTGCTGCTGCTGCTGCAGCAAATACTGAATTTGAATTCGGCATTGAAGTTAGGAACTGCTGCTGCGGAACATTTTGTGGAAGTTTAAGAAGAGTTAGTGGAGTTTATTTAGTCTTTTAGTCTTTTTGTTTTTGGAAAAACAATTATCATTTCGAAACGAAATACGTAGCTGCTGCAGCGGGTGGTTTGCTGCTGCTGCTGCAGCTGCAGCTCCGCCTCTGCGGAAGAGCTTGTTGGAATTTAATTTAATTTAAATTTAAAATATTATTTTTTTCTATTTTGCAAACTGAGCAGCAGCAGACAAGCTGGGGGCCGGCAGTGTTGCGTGCTGCTGCCACTCAGCGGGGGGCAAGAGAGCAGCAGCGGCGAGTGGGGGCTCATTCGCCGCAGCAATAACTCGAAATGCCACTTTTTTTTGAATACTTTAATTAAATTAAAATGTTTAAATTGCAAAAAACAACTCAAGCAGCAGCAAGACTATCCGGAGAAGAAGCCGGGGGCCTCCGGAGCATAGCGGGTGGGCTGCTGCAGCTCCGGGCGCGCGAGTCTGCCGCTGCAGCAGCAATTTTGGAGTTATTTTGCGGGTTTTGCTTCGAAAAAGAATAAAATTTTGATTATTTATTCTTAAATTAACAAAAAGAATCCAAGGGAGCTCCGAAAAGGCAGTTTTGAGGCGAAGTCGCCCGCCGCAGTCGCGGCAGTGTCCGGGTGTACTTACAGGTTCGGACGCTGCGGCTGTCCGCAGGCGCGCAGTCTTTCTTTTTGAATTTATTAACTCTTCAAATCTTTTTATTTTCATTTCTTAATTCGCAAACTTTAGCAGCAGAAGACCACGGGCCGGAGCTCCGCCGCGAAGACCTCCCCGCAGCAGTCGGCCGCGCGCAGCAGCAGCAGCAGCAGCAGCAGCAGCAGCAGCAGCAGGCGGATGTTTTGCTGCTCCCCGCTGCTAGGGGCTCTTCAGCAGCACTGCGCAGGTCATAAGGCAGCTTCTGGTGCTTCCTCAGTGGCAGCGAGCTGCTGCTGCGGGCAAGAGCAGCAGCACTGGAGCTGCTGCTGCTGCTGCTGCTGCGAGCTGCAGCAGCGCCTCGCCGCCGTTTCGGGCCTCAAGCAAACTGCAGCAGCAGCCTCAAGTGTACAGACACCGCAGCAGCAGCAGCAGCAGCAGCAGCAACTCCGAAAATGGTAAAGGAAGGAGATTGGGAGCACGGCGACGCCGCAGCACAGACTGACGCTGCAGAAAACCCTAAAAAGGTAGCAGCAGCAGCAGCAGCAGCAGCAGCAGCAGCAGCAGCAGCAGCAGCAGGAGCGTCTGCTGCAGCAGGAGACTTGCTCTCTGCTGCAGCTGCTCCCCTTTTCGGAGCCCCAGGCTTGCAGGCTTTGCATGCGTTTGAGAGTTTGTAATTTTATTTTCATTTATTTCAAATTAAATTAAATTATTTTTAATTAAATTAAATTAAATTAAATTAAATTAATTTAAATTTTCTTTTTTCTTTTCAGGACTTTGACGGCGCAGAAATTCCTGCAGAGGACACGAAGGTTTTTGTGGATGGAGTAAGTTGATTTATTTTATTTATTTTTATTTATTTCTACTTCTTTTTATTTCATTTCTTTTCTTTTTAATTTCTTTTCTATTTATTATTCTTTTTAATATCTTTTGCTTTCTTGACTTCTTTTAATCTTCTTTTCTTTGAATTGTTTATTCCTTTATCTTTTGAACTGTTCTTTTATGCATTTGCTTTATAATTTTATTTTTGTTATTTATTCATTTATTTATTTATTTATTTTGTTCTTTGATTTATTTATTTATTTCATTTGCGTCTTCATTTGTTTGTTTGTTTGAGTGTTCATTTGCTTGTCAGTTGAACTCCGAATTTATTTATTTATTTATTTATTTATTTATTTATTTATTTATTTGTTTATTTGTTTATTTATTTGTTATTTTTAAAAATAAATAATAAATGATTTATTTAATTGTTCTTTTTTTTGTGCATTTCCTTCTCAATTTGCTGCTCTTCACTCTTTGCCATTCACAATTTGAAATTAATTTTAAATAATATTTAAAATTAACTCTGCATAGCATTTATTATTTATTATGATTATTATTATGACATTATTATTATTATATCTGATTATTATTGCTTTTATTATTATTATCATTATTTATTATTATTATTATTATTTATTATTATTACTATTATTGTTATTATTATTATTATTATTACCATTATTATATTACTATTATTATTAGTATTATATTATTGTTATTATTACTATTATTGTTATTATTATTATTATTATTATTATTATTATTATTATTATTATTATTATTATCATTATTATTATTATTATTATTATTGTTATTATTATTTATTATTACTTTATTATTATTTTATTATTGCCGCAGAACACGGAGGGCGTGGACACAGGTGAAAGGTGGCTGCCGTACATCATCGCCGCGTTTTTCCTTTCTTTCATTTTTCCTCCGCTCGGCTGCTTCGCCTTTTGTCTTTCTTTGAGTCCGTTTCCACGCCTTTTCCGGGGTGTACGTACACCCCAGTTCCGCGTCTTTAGAGCGCTTTTCTGGGGTGTATGTACACCCCAGTTGCGTGTTTCCAAACCCCTTTCTGGGGTGTACGTACACCCCAGTTGCGTGTCTTTAGAGCGCCTTTCTGGGGTGTACGTACACCCCAGTTGCGCGTCTTAGAGCGCCTTCTGGGGTGTACGTACAGCCCAGTTGCTATTGTTATTATTACTATTATTATTATTTATTTATTTATTATTGTTACTGGGGTGTACGTACACCCCAGTTGCGTGTCTTAGAGCGCCTTCCGGGGTGTACGTACACCGGGCGCGTGCGGCGCGGACTTGGCACACATTTTTCTTTTTTTTTGCTTTTTTTTGTTTTTTTTTGCTTTTTTTTTCGCAGATGCGACTTAGTTCACATTTTTCTTTTTCTTTTTGTTTTTCTTTTTGTTTTTTGTTTCTTTTTTCGCAGATGCGCCCTCGGGCTCGAAAAGAGCGGCCTGGGGCGAGTGGGCAGTGCGGCTGGGGTCTCTGCTTTCTTTTCTTTACACTTTTCTGCTGGCGATGCTGCTGAGCGAGTTTTACTACATTCCCAACAGCGGCGCCATTCTTGGCTACGGGTACTAACTGCTTTTCTTTATCTTTCTTTATCTTTCTTTATCTTTCTTTTGTTCTTTCTTTCGTTCTTTTATCTTTCTTTGTTCTTCTTTTTTCTTCTTTGCGGCGCGCCTTCTGAAGGCGCTCTCGCGGTGTACGCACAGCGCCTTGGGGTGTACGTACACTCCGTGGGGTGTATGGACAGCTCCGCGGGGCTGTGCGCAGCTCTTTGGGGTGTACATGCAGCTCCTTCGGGTGTACATGCAACTCCGGGTGTACGTACAGCCCCCTGGAGTCTGCTTAAGCCCCTCGGGCTGTACCTGCAGCTCCGTGGGGTGTACCTGCAGCTCCTTGGGGTGTATCTGCAGCTCCTTGGGGTGTATCTGCAGCTCCTTGGGGTGTATCTGCAGCTCCTTGGGGTGTACATAGGCCTCTTGGGGTGTACGTACAGCTCCCGGGATGTGCCTAAGTGGAGCCCCTTGGGGTGTACGTGCAGCCCGCGAAGGCTGTTTGGGGTGTACGTACACCCCGCTGAGCGTGCGTACAGCTCCCTGGGGTGTACGTGCTGTTCAGTTCTGTTTTTGTTGGGTTGGAGGGAGAGAGCGTTTGCTGTCTTCTGTCAGAAGAAGTGAAGTCGGGAGAAGCTCTGCGTCTGCGCGGCCCGCGGGTGTACGTACACCGGGTGTACTTACACCGCAGAAGCCCAGGGGCTTCGCGGCCCCAGACTCTTCAAAACATTTCTTCTTCTGCAATGCGGGAGGACTTTTCTTCGGGAGGACTTTTGTTCAGCTTTTGCGGCCTACGCAGCTGCGGTGTACAGACACCTGCGCTGCGGTGTACAGACACTTGCGCTGCGGTGTACAGACAGCTCGTCTGCGGTGTACAGACAGCTCATTCGGTGCACAAGGAAAAGTCTAGTGGCATTTAAAATTAATTAATTGCCAAATGCCTTCAGGCCGTTCGGGCCTTCAGTTCAGTTGTAGAGACTTCCTCACGGCAAACGGGGCTGCTCTGCAGCTAGGGTTTAGGGTTTAGGGTTTAGGGTTTAGGGTTTGCAGGACTAGCCCTGCAGCCCCTCCAGCAGCAAATCCAATTTGTCTTCTATTTTGTTGAGCTGCCGCGAAAGCCGCTTTTGCTCATCTTCTAAGGCCGACAGACGGGCCTCAGTGTTTGTGCCTGAGTGGCAAATGGCAAACAAAAACGAAATAAAAATAAAATGAAAATAAAATAAAAAAATAAAAATAAATGAAAACATAAAAGTGAAAAGGAAGATGCGACGCGCAGCCAGTGTGCGCTCAGCTGTAGTGACACCTGAACCCTCTTTTTTCGAATTTTGAAGTTCCAAAACACTTTCTCAATAAACTGACTTTCCGAGTGCTGCGGGGCCACTCCGAGGCCAAAATTTGACTTGAAAAGTCCATTTAAAAGCAGCAATTGAAGCATTTAATTCAAAAGAATTCATTACCTTCTCCGCTGGAGCTGGAGCCGCCTCGCAAGGCCGAGAGGCGACTTTGCAGCTTTTCAAGTTTTTCCGAATTTATCGAAAAGTTCATTTTTTGGGCTTCGCGGCTGCCGCTGGAGGTGGAGCGCATGCTGGGCGAGCTCTGCAGCAGCAGCAGAAACGAAAAGGGGGAAAAGTGCATTTAAAAAGCCAAAAGGGTCAAAATAAAAAGTGAATTCGAAGACAAAATTGCAAAAAGGAAACTCCGGCAAGAAGCAGCAAATAAAACAAACAAATTGGGGGGAAAAGCGAAGAAAAAGCAGCAAAAAACCACAGAAAGGGAATGCGAAACGAAGAAGCAGCAAGCAAAACAAACCACAGCAGCAGCTGCAGCAACTGCTGCAGCAACTGCTGCAGCAACTGCAGCAGCAGCTGCAGCAGGAAAAGAAAGGCGCTGCTAACTTCGGCAGCTCGGGCCACGTAGTCGAGAGTTCGGAGGTTCTTGAGGTTTCCCAAAGCGAAGTCCTCTTCGATCTGCTGGGCCTCCTCCTGCAGGTCAGAGAAAAAACACAAAAAAAATAAACTCCCAAGTCCTCGAATTGGACTAGTAACTAAAAATGTGAAAAAAGACGAATGAAGTAAAACTAAACAGACGAGAAGGCAAAAAGAAACAAAAAAGGAAAACAGAAAAAAAGTGAAAGCGAAACTGAAACTGCGCGTCGCCGAACGCGATTTCAGGTGTACAGACACCTCACAACAGCGGCATCCGGCGAAACGCGAAACCCGCCGGGATCTATTAAAGAAAGGCAATTTGTTTGAATTTGAAGAAATTTGAAGAATTAAATGGATTTATTTTGAATAATTTGAGGGATTTGGTTTGTTTTCTCGCCTTTGCAACCTTCATCAGCGAAGGCAGCTCGGGCTTGCTGAGCCGCTCGAGGCGGCGGCAGCGCCACTTCCCCCCGAACTCCGAAAGACTGAAAAACAAAACTCCCGCAGAGTCCGCCGCTTCTTCGAGATTAACTTCGAGAGATTGAAGAGGAATGGAAAACAAAACGGGGCCCATAAAGCCTTCGCAGATCTCAATCAGCCCCCCCTCCAGCTCTGCAGCAAATTCGCCGCCGCAGCTCACAACCTGCTGCAGCCTCCCCGCCGCTGCAGCGGGACCCTCCAGTTGCTGCAGCAGCTGCAGCAGCTGCTGCAGCAACTGCTGCAGCAGCTGCCGCAGCAGCTCACGCAGCAGCAACTGCTCCAGCAGCAACTGCTCCAGCAGCAACTGACCCAGCAGCAACTGGTCCAGCAGCAACAAACCAAGCAGCAACCGCCAAGCAGCAGCCGCCAAGCAGCAACCGTCCAGCAGCAGCAGCAGCACCAGCAGCAGCAGCAGCAGCACCAGCAGCAGCAGCAGCAGCAGCAGCGGACCCGCAATGGACAGGCCAGTGGTGTAGACCGCAGCAGCCAACACTATTGTGTGGCAGGAGTCGGGGACAGCCTCGAGATCCACTGCGAGCGAATGCGTTTTTTGGTTAAGACAAAAACTGCCGCTGGCGTCTTCGGGGTGTTTGTAGAATATGCAGTCCACGAAGGCGCAGGCGTTATCAAACAAAAGGGCAAACATGTCTGCGCAACAATAAATAAATAAATTAATTAATTAATTAATTAATTAATTAATTAATTAATTAATTAATTAATTAATTGTTTGCGAGGCGGAAATGCACTTCTGGGGAGGTCCCTGCAGTTGCGCGGCGACGCGCAGTGTGCAGACGCCTCCGCTGCACTGCGCTCCCAAACCCTAAACCCTAAACCCTAAACCCTAAACCCTAAACCCTAAACCCTCACCAATGTCGATTCCTCCGGGGTAGGCGTCTTCATCGTAAGTGAGTCGCACGCAGATCTTCCGGAGGGCAGAAAGTTGCGAAAAAGAAACTGAAAAAAACCAAAGACACACCCCAGGTGTACGTACACTCCACGCCCGCGGTGTACATACACCGCAGCGCCCCACACCCACCCCTTTGTGCACACGGGGGCGCCCCCCGCGCTGCGGTGTACGTACACCCCAAGTGTACATACACCCCAGCTGTACGTACACCGCAGGTGTACGTACAGCTGGGGTGTAGGTACAGCTGGGGTGTAGGTACAGCTGGGGTGTAGGTACAGCTGGGGTGTACGTACAGCTGGGGTGTACGTACAGGTGGGGTGTAGGTACAGCTGGGGTGTAGGTACACCGCAGCTGGGGTGTACGTACACCGCAGGACTCACCGCGGCGGCTGGGAGTCACTTCGTGGCTGCGGTCGCGCACGGTGGAGCCGAGGCGGCCGTAGAAAGTGTTGCTGCGGGGCTGGTCGCTGGCCTCGGAGGCCCCCGACAGGTACCCGCTGTACCCGCTGCTCAGCCGGTGAATCGGCATTGCTGCTGCTGCTGCTGCTGCTGCTGCTGCTGCGGCTGCTGCGGCGGCGATCCCCCCACGCCTGCTGCTGCGGCGCGCGGCTGAGACCTGCTGCTGGAGCGCTGTGCCGGGCCCTGCTGCTGCAGCGCAGGAGCTCGGCTCAGCTGCTGCAGCAGGGCTCCTCGGCCCAGCTGCTGCAGCTGCTGCAGCTGCTGCAGCTGCTGCAGCAGCAGCTCTCTTGGGAGGGAATCTGCTGCGGGGAAAGGCCGCCGCAGGCCCGGCTCCGCAGCCCGAGCTCTTAGTTGAGTTCCGCTGGAGCCGCGAAGGGCAGCAGCGGGGGTCTTGTGCTGAAAAGGAAAACGCCGGAATTCAAGTTGAGCTCAAGTTGGGCTCTTTCTCGAGGCCTTTCCCCTCCCAGTCCATTAGTGGGGCTCTGAGAGTCCCAAAAATGGATATTTGGGCTTTTAAACTTCAAGAAAATGCGCTAAGAGCCGCGGTTTAGCCGCCAAGTCCAAAAAGCAGTCACAGGCTTTCAAGTGATCCTGCCCGCGCCCGCTGCTGACGACGAAGAAGGGCCAAACTGCACAGCCCTAACATTGAAAAGAAAGAAGAAGTTAAATGCTTTTCGTTTTTCAAATTCGAAAAAGCCAAACTCGAAGAAGTGTGCGCGAATCGCAGCAGCAGCGCGAGCCCACTGGACGGCGGCACTCCGTGACCGCCGAAGACCAGAGTTGCGCTTTGAACTGGAGGCCAGCAAAAGTAATACCTCTTTCCCAGCCTATTTTGTCTTAAATTGTGTTAATTTTCGCAATCATTGAATCCTTGTTGCGGCCACGAAGCCGAAAAGGTGGAAAGTTCCGCTTTCAGACAACGCCGCCACCTCGAACCTGCACTGAGCCGCTGCGGCGGCGCCTTCGGGGGAAACTCCAATTTCCCGCAATTTAAATCTCCCCGCACTTCGTATTTACCTTTAAATGGGAGCTGTGGGCGAATTCGGCAGCGGGCAATGCCGGAAACTGCAGCCAACGCTGCTGCGGCGGCAGTCCGCGGCCTTCCCACGATGGCACACTCTGCGGCTTCGATCCACACCCACGGCCTGCAGCTCCGTTCATAAACGGAAAAGCCCAATTGTAACAAACTCCTCACAGCTTGCTGCACTCCGGCCAGTTTCTACTTCGCTCCCTCTCGCCTCTCCGCCGAGGCTTCGCCACACAATGCGAATCGACTGAAAAAACGGGCAAATCAGCCATTGAAAGGCCCCTCTTCAGCTGCCAATAGGGGATTTTAGTGAACACTGCAGACAGAGGAAGTGATCCTTGAGGTAGAGGCAGTTTTCAAGCTTCGGAACTGGCAGCAGTTGAGCGTCAGCTCGAGAGCCTTGCAGACCTCCGCTCTATCAGTGGCTCTGCATGCGCTCCTTCGCAGATGCAAGTGGATCTTTATTGAAAACGCAGAAAGCAGCTTTCAGCCGCTGATAAACAACTATTAACTTCGCAGCAGAGCCGCCAGAAGAGCCACGGATTTGCGAGCTTAAAGCAGTGGCTGCAGCCTGCAGCACACGGCCGCATGCCGCACTCTAATCGAGGGAAAGCTGCGGAAAAACTAGTGCTGCACGCTCCTCTTTGGCCAAACTAATATTACTGGTGTCTGATAGTTTGAAATGGGAGCCAATGCAGCGATATAGACCCCAAAATAGTCCGCAAATGCTGCGCAGCGTTGCCAGCCAGCAGCAGCAGCAGCAGCGGCGGACGGCGGCCTGGCTGCATTTACTCGCAAAATCGCTGGCTGTTTCCTCAGAGTTGGTAAAATAACTTTAGAATGCTTTGCAGAAGGATATACGCAGAGCACACAACTGCGCGACGCAAAAGTTGAATTTTCTCACAGGGCTGGCTGGCGGGATCTGGAAAGTGAACACAACTCCGTTCTAAACGACACAATTGAAGAACAACCTTCACTATGTTTGTTGCTCACGGAAATTAGTATTTATTTGCGGCTTAAAGGCCACACATTTCGGCCTTCACTCCCTGTAGCCGCGAAGCTACACAGGTTTCCACAGTGCCTCAAGTTACTGACATGCCAAGTTGATGCACGGACATCTCCCCAGCGACAGCTGCGGTGAACATAAGAGGAATTAAAGGAATAAAAAGCATTAAATGACGCAACAAGATGCCACTTTGCCAGTGATCTGCTCAGAGAAGCAGGCCAAGCCATGGCTCGTGCAGAAGACAGCCAACTAGGCGGCCTATAGGCACCCAAAGATCACCAACTGCGCGTTTTTGACGCAATATTGCATAACAATTCACCATTTTCACCAATTTTAGAGTTATTTGAAGCAAAGTGGAGGCTTCAAAACCCCGAGAAAGTCTACCCGGCGAGGCCCGCGGGACCTCCGGCTAAGAATACGGTGTTTCCTGTGCAAGCCGTGGCGCTGCCTCAGTGCAATTCACCTGAAAGCAGCTGATTTTGATATCGAAGTTTGATTCTTTTGCAACTTATGGGATATCCCCACAACTCGAAAGGACTTGAACAGAAAGCTACAAATGCTGTTCTTGAGTTGTCTCACTTGTTATCTCATTTTCTAGAGGTGCAGCTAGTGGGCTCTTGTGTTCGTTAGCACAAGCTGCAAGACCCAGGCACTTGAACTGGCCCGTACTGCTGCTTCTGCTGCTGCTTGCCGCGAGAAGCAGCAGCAAGGGACCCATAAAGAAGCAAATTAAGTTCTGCAATTATAAAAATAAACATAAAAGAACCCCGCAAGCTGCCCCCTAATCAGTGTAGGAATCGCTGGATCAGAAACGACCTGTCTGTCCCATCAGCAGAGCGGCGCTGCCAGCCCTCTGGCTGAAGCAGCTGGGAACCTCAAGCACAGTAGAACTTTGAAAAGATAAACTGAACTGCATTTGTTTTAAGAAGGCAGAACAGGTCAACGAGGGCAGCCTGCAGCCAAGAAAGGGCGGATCACCCCCCGCAGCAAGTAACCCCGCACTGCGTAGCCGCACTCCGGCTCGCCAAGCATGCATGCTAAGCATCTTCAAGCGAGCTACAAGGCAAAGAGGAGTTTCGAAATAAATCTAAAGAATCGGCACTTCTTCAGGAGGTAGTCAGGGCGCGAGACGGATCCCCGCAGCGCCCGACAAGCAGGGTGGGATCTAGGTGCAAGCGCTGCCTAGACAGCGGATACGGGGGTAGTCGCTGGTAAATATGCAAAAGCGTTAATGCCGAGCAAGTCTGTGGAGTTCTGTGCTAAAAAAGAGTGGTTTGTTTAGCGTTTGTGTGTCGAGGAATCAGGACGGTCTCGGCCAGCCCCAGGAGCCGCGGCTGCGCCTCAGTAGCCTTGAAGCCTGGGGCCCCGCGGAAGCGCGAGATTCGGGTCAAATCTGACTTGCTGTGCAGAATTTTTGCAAATTTCTATTGTTATGCGCGCGTTTGGGGTCAACTGGAGTGCCGAGGACTGCTCGAGGAGTGGCGGAGGCTGGACTCGGCGGCTGCTGCGAGCGCTTGACGCGGACTCTGCGGACGCGTTGCAGGGCTGGAGACGGGCCCCGCGGAGTGCAGCACTATGCGGCGAATGCGCGGCGTGGGCCTGTGGGTGGCCCTCTTGCTGGCAGCAGCAGCGTGGCTTCCGTGCTGCAGGTGCAGCAAGGCGCTGCAGCAGCAGCAGCAGCAGGGAAAGCCGCCCAGCGCGGCGGAGCCGAGACGGCGGTACTCCCCCCCCCCCTCTCGGAGCCGCGCCGCAGAGCCGCGCTGCAACTCTTCGAAAAGGGGCA